CATACCCCAAAGAGGGAGCGCGCGAAGCGCGCGACCGCGCCTGATTTTTTTTTACTCGAAATCATGGTTTGGGATGCGAAAATTATCGTTATTACTTATGAAATAGAGCCGTAATATTTTTTTTTATTATTCCCTTAAAAAAACAAGGAAAAATGATTGAAGCACCATTCTTTCATTTTCACAATACATTTTGTTCTTATGCATTTCAATTTATCAAATAAAATTTCAATTCCATTTATGTCATTGAATCATCCAAGATCGGAAATTGTTTTCTTTTAACAGCTATTGACTAGAGGTTAGGTACTAAGCGATATAGGATGTCAGGATACAGATTGAGCGGTATTAGCTGCATGCGGCCAGTACCGCTCACTCAGCTCCTATCTTCATTTTTTGATAATTTATCGGAATTAAAACAGAAATTGAGTATTCAAGACTTCTATATATCTACGTGAATAGCCAAAGCATGCCATGCGACTATAATTGTGATTCGAAATCATGGTTTGAAATGCGAAAATTATCGTTATTCCTTAGGTGAGCGGTACAGGCACCACTAACCTTGACGAATAAATATTCAAATGTATAACTTGTTTTAAAAGAGAATGAAGTGCCCTAACGAAATAGAGCCGTAATAATTTATTATTATTCACAATATCAATTCACAATATCATTTTATTCCTCCGCATTTAAATTTATCAAATAAAATCTGAATTCCATTCGTGTTATTGAAGCATCCAACATCGCAGATTTTTTTTACAGCTATTGACTAGAGGTTTGGTACTGAGCGATATAGAAGCAGACTGAGCAGTATTAGCTGTATACGGCCAGTACCGCTCACTCACCTCCGATTTTAATTTTTTGATAATTTATGGGAATTGAAACCAAAATTGAGGATCCAAGACCTCTAAATATCTACCTAAATTGCCAGAGATTGCTATGGGACTGTAATTTTTATTCGAAATCATGGTTTGGAATGCGAAAATTATCGTTATTGCTTAGGTGAGCGGTACAGGCACCACTTCCCCTACCACAAACATACTTGACAATGTATAGTATTTTGAGAATATGTAAAAATTATTAACCCCACAGTTTTTCATTCATATTCATTGATTTTTCATTTTCTGGATCCCACTCTTTGATACATAATAATGGAGGCACGATTGGTACGGAAGGCGTTACCGGAAGTGGCGTGCACCAGCTCCCTCGCGATGAATCCAATACACAAGCGGGTAGAAGGCCGAGGACGTTGGTGAGCATCATGCAACTCTTGCTGTAATCCTCTTATGCGCGCGTGACGAGTTGCTCGGTAAACCACCCTGCCATCTACTCCTCTGGCTCAGGAAAACGCGATCCATCCGAACGAAGGGGCAAATCAACTCGGGCTATCTGACGCTGTATGCCCTAACGCCTCGGTACATTATTATTGTTGTTTGTGCTATTAATATTAATGGATATGGGAACGTAGGGTATGTGCAGGACTGGAGTATCTGTTCATGAAGTCCGAGCACATGGATCATTCGTTTATTTGAGGGTATTCAAGTATTACATTTCGACCCTTTTTTTATTTGAATCCTTTTCGATATTTGGAGTTGTGCATCAGAAATCCTATCATTTGCGCGATTGAAGTTTGAACTTGATTTTTTGTTTTGAACCACTGTTCGAAACGAACACATTAGGTGATAAAAGTATTACATTGTATCTGGCGAATGTGATTGTATTGATTGTATTGTATTGTATTGTATTGTATTGTATTGTATTGTATTGTATTGTATTGTATTGTATTGTATTGTATTGTATTGTATTGTATTGTATTGTATTGTATTGTATTGTATTGTATTGTATTGTATTGTATTGTATTGTATTGTATTGTATTGTATTGTATTGTATTGTATTGTATTGTATTGTATTGTATTGTATTGTATTGTATTGTATTGTATTGTATTGTATTGTATTGTATTGTATTGTATTGTATTGTATTGTATTGTATTGTATTGTATTGTATTGTATTGTATTGTATTGTATTGTATTGTATTGTATTGTATTGTATTGTATTGTATTGTATTGTATTGTATTGTATTGTATTGTATTGTATTGTATTGTATTGTATTGTATTGTATTGTATTGTATTGTATTGTATTGTATTGTATTGTATTGTATTGTATTGTATTGTATTGTATTGTATTGTATTGTATTGTATTGTATTGTATTGTATTGTATTGTATTGTATTGTATTGTATTGTATTGTATTGTATTGTATTGTATTGTATTGTATTGTATTGTATTGTATTGTATTGTATTGTATTGTATTGTATTGTATTGTATTGTATTGTATTGTATTGTATTGTATTGTATTGTATTGTATTGTATTGTATTGTATTGTATTGTATTGTATCTGGCGAATTTGATTATAATCCTCGCCTTCGGCTCGGATCATAAAACCACATTCGCCAGATAATGCTTTTATCGCTGCCCGATATACGCTATTTTATGTCGTTGGGCCCAAAAACCGCGATCTAACCGAGCGAAGCGAGTGAAGCCTAATGACATAAAAGCAATTTAGAGTATGCTGATCAAGTGTAAAATTTTATAATTAAAGATCTGTACATACTGCGATCAATACTGAACTGCACGTGTTACTTTGATTTCCTTGAGGATATCCAAGTACTTTGGCAATTTTTTCTCCAGTGAAATGCTGTTCTACCCATTCGAGTCCCGTTTGATCCTAAGTCCGCACATTTTACAATAATTTTATGACTCAAACTTTGCAGATATGAATTTGAATCTCGATATTGAAACGTTAGAAAATATTTCAAAAATTGGAAAAAATTAGAAAGTTCACTTTTGGGGGAAGATTGATTAAACAATTTAAAAATGCCATTTTTCGAATGTTACGACCATCTTCTATAAATAATTTATAAACAATCAATTTTCCACCATAAAAATCATTTGTTCGGATTATTCGTATTTAGAATTTTTGACCAGAAATCGATTTCATGCCTAAAAAATGAGGTTTCCGAAAGTTTAAACAATTTTAATTATTTATTTATAAACAACGACTCTTCAAAAGGATAATAATTCTGTACAAAATGTACTTTGAATAACGCTGAATATTCATGATTTATTTCAAATTTTTCTCATGCAATTCTATTGACAAATTTAATTATTGGAAATGGTTGAATTTACAGTGTGGTCTGTACCAAACTGCAGATGATACTTGGATATCCTTAATACAATGGAAAAATAAATGTGGGGAACATTAGACGAAAATAGATACTATCAGTTTTTCTTGGAATATTCGTAACTCAGAAACAAAAAGACAAATATGTGAGCCCATTGGGGAGTGAAAATTTGTCAAAAACTCAATCATTTATTATAATTTTCAAAAAATCAGAATTGTTCATTTCACCCATGTTTTCCAGCGTGATATCCGTTCATAAATATCCCGCCGCAGTAAATCACCTATTATTATTTTTGAGCACACATCCTTGAAATTCTATTACACATATTGATAAATCTTTATTTACCAAGAATTCACTCTGACCGTATCATCTCTCCAATCACTCCTTTTCTTTTACATCCAAAGGAGTGTGTTCCTTCATTCATCGTAAATATGCACGCAGGAAAATTGATTCCATTGTGTGGTTAGCCACCTGCACGAGGATTCCACCTTCTTTTGCACCACAAACAACTCACTTGACAAGTTCTCCTTGCGGAGATAGACGTGTGTGCATATCCACGGAATTGCGGAAAATTGGTGTGAAATGTTGGGATGCAGCACTGAGAAAACACTTTGCATTGATTGATCACCAGGTTGCCTTGAAAAAATAAAGAAGGGACGGACCTAATACGAACAGTGGTATTAAATGGAGTTTTATGGGTGAGTGTTTGTGCTGCAGTTAATGGAATCCTTGGGACGTCGAATCTCCATCAGTTGATCAGATTAGACGTCAGATTGTCCAATCGGTAATTTTCGTTCATCCAACAGGAGCCGCAGCCAACCAAATCACCTGCGTTAATTGAATTTTGCATTCTCTCCCAGTAAGTACAGAGTCCACAACGACTGGAGTACTCATTTCACAATGAAATGTAAATTCAGGGGTTGTGGAGGGTGTAAGGAACTCGAGCTTCTCCAATTTCCCACTCGAGTTGCCAAAAATGAGGAGAAATGGATCACGTGGTCACCTGAGAGTCTCCAGTGATCGTTGACGAATACACGTCAATGAAATATTTCTGTAGAGCACATTGACTTGTTGTATAGAGAAGGGTGGGGCAAAACGGACACTTTAGACTTTTTAAAAATTATTCATAACTCAGAAACAAATTGATTAATTGAGCTCAGTTTAGGCTCGTCACAAAGGGAAAGAATTGTTCTTTGTATTGAAAAAAAAATTATTACATTTTATCAACATTTCAACTCCTCATTAATATTTTTAAAAAAGTCAAAAGTGTCCGTTTTACCCCAACCTCCCTTATAATTACTACTTGACATTGATATTCATTATAAATTAATTAATTTTTAAGGTACACGTTTGCTTGTTTAATACTAACGACAATTTCGAGTATTTTAGAAATAATTTGATAGATTGATTTTACGGATTATTTTTGTAAACCGTTAATTGTACAGCGGATCATTTTGGTATGTATTGTGTGAATGTGTGATGGCGGAAGATTTTTGATAAGAAATATGTAACAAATGATTCAATCGAATCAAATTTATTATGAATATTGATGTATATGTTTTAATCGATGAAATTAATAGTTGATTTAATGCCGATCTGATTTTTTAATGATACACTTTGAATTTGAGTGCAATATAGTCATTGAGCACACGAAAACGAGTGGCAGGTATTCGTATACCAAAATAACCGTTTTATTCTTTCTTTAATTAATTGACTGAAATTTATTCATTCATGCTAATGAGTCTTTTTCTAAATAATATCAGAATCATTATAAGGGTTTAACAAAAACATACAAAACATAAGAATACGTCATTGGGTCGTTCATGATATTTATTCCATGAATGTTTTCTGAGAATGTACATAACATACAAATATTACAACTCAATCATTACAGTAAGACAACCAGTTTGATGGTCTCTCGTGAGACAAGTTGATAACAAACACATCATTTCTCCACCCCCTTTTCCCTCGTCTATCAACCTCTCGCCGACTCCACATACACATATACATTCCCTCGGGGCGTAAAACCCTACCAGGGTAGGATCAATCATACGGAAGAGAAAAATTGAGATGGAAAAATGTCGGTAGATTGACCAAGACTCACGTCCTTACGGGAACCCAGTAGTTTAACTCCCTGGGTCGAGGGCGTTTAAAATACCAACCAAGTACACATGTCGTAATCATATATCCAAGGTGTATCGTAAGCGTCACGCGAACCTGCGTAAATTCTTGATGATTGTTGGTTTGTATACATGAGGATAGGATATTACATATAACAGCCAAGGGACAGGAAGAGTCAGGGAGCCGTAACGACTTAATTGATTAAACGTTTATCGGTATATGTAGATCGAGGGAGTCACGAAATTTCCCTCGGTTTCAATTGCTTCCTGGTGGCCTTGACCTTTCCTCAATTATGTGGTAGAGGGAGGTAATGGAGAAATGGAAAATGAATTTTCAGCAAACAGTATTGTATATTCCCTCTTCGTCTTCGGTGCTGTTTGATACGTCTGAGATTTCCGAGTGCGATGCTAACTTGACGTAACCCCGATCTTTCTCATTGGTACCGGTTTTACCATGCGGCAGTGGTTTGGCTTCCGGCGTACCTCGATTCCTCCTAGATCGATCGTTCGTTGGCTCGCAGATCTCCGTGTAGATATCCTCGGGCTTGGGTGGTGGAGTCGGTGGAAGTGGGGTCAAGCTGTCCCTGACCTTTGAATAGGGTGGATCCAAGTCTCTAGTCTGCTGCACCTCTAGCACACTAGTTGATACGGATCTCTGTACCTGTTGCCTTGACGTACAACCAGTAATGCCTCTGCTTGATACCAGTGCATTGGCGTCCGATTCCAGGCTTGCGTAACGCTCCGCTGACCTCATACCAAGTTCAGGGCGTATGGCAAACGTGAATGATGCGGATTTTTTAGCTGGATTTCTACTTCTACCACCGTGAGTTATTCTTGTTAATCGCTCGAAAAAACTCGGGGTCGTGGCACTACTCTGGGAATTACTACGATCACGAATTGTGGTTTTCTTGATTTGTTCAAGGCCGTTTTTTAGACTTTGGAGAATGGGTTTCGTTTCGGGTTTGGATTTTATTTCCTTTAGGTTGAGTTCTTTTAGTTGAATACTGGGGGCTGCTGGCTTTGGGGGCGCTACTCGAGGCTCCGTTGCACGCTGGTCCAGGGCTCGTCTGTGAAGAAATTGGGCTGAGTTTATTATCATTTATATAATTCTGGCAGTTTGGATGAGTTCAAGAATTCAGCCTCTTTTATTTAACCTAGTAGAAAAATTCAAGAATTTCAAAAATCGTTGACACTTTAAAACAGGTTGTTTTCTTTATTTTAATGACTGTCACTAAACCAATCAAGCCAAATAGATTATTATGGAATGACTAGGGGGCTTCGCCCCCTGCTCGTTCCGCTCGTCAACCCTCATGACCCCCATTTGATCCCCATATGACCCTTAATTTTGGAGTCTCAATTTCAAGTGGCAAATTTGCAAGAAATCGATTGCAGAAATCGATTTGGATTTTTATAATGAACTTGGGGTCTCTGTCCCTTGCTCGCCTTGCCCGTCAAACCCCATATGAACCCTATGATCATTATTCTGACCTTTCTGACCCTTCATTTCTGACCCTCAATTTTTGAGTTTTAATTTTGAATACCAAATTTTCATCACCAAAAGTCGAATTGGATTTTTATAGCATATAGTCTATGCCATAGAGAGATATACAGAGCCCTTTAATTTGACCCTTGTGACCCTTATTTGGACTCTTAATCTGATCTTTGTGATCCTTAATCAGACCCGGATTATAACCTTCGTAAGCCTTATTTTGACGCGGGTGACTCTTAGTTTCTGACCTTTGATTTTGACCCCCGGGACCCTTATTCTGACTCTTGTGACCCTTAATCTGACCTTTATAACCCTTATTTGGACCCTTAATCTGACCCCTATGAGCATTAATTTGACCGTTGTAACACTTATTTAGACCCGTATTCTGACCCTCGTGATGCTTATTCTTACCTTCGCACCCCTTAATCTGATCCTTGTAACCCTTATGTAGAGCCTTAATCTGACCCTTCTAACCCTTTAGAACCTTAATCTGACACATGTAAGGGACATTCCATGTCAACTCAGCCACCCCGGATTTTTTTTTGTCTAGAAAAAATGATTTGATTGCCGCATTTCGAACTACTATATATAGACAGTATTCCTGCCAAATGTCATTGCCTCATGATTTTTTGTTTCTGAGATAATGACTACCAAACTTTAAATTTTCAAAAATTCCTAACTTTTGAATGGCGCATCCGATTCGAACAAATAAAAAAATAAAATTTTTGTTGTTGTTCATACTTTCAGGGAAAAAATACTCCATAGGCGTAAACTCCGATGCTGGATCTAGTTTCCCTGGCGATAGTAGTAAACAACGGGATGGACTGTACATTGGTCATTATTGTAGTGGAAGGATTGAGCAGGATCTTGAGCCACAAAGGCATAATTTTTTAAGAAATTACAGTGCACTAGTACTTCGCCGTAATTCAAATTCTCTTTTCGATCTTTAACAAAAGCTGATTGTTCTTTAGCGATAAAGTGATGGGGTTTTAATACTTTTAATCGTTCAACAAGAAGATCGACGAAGTCACCCATCGCAAGCGTTTGTGTCTGCAAGGTACACCTGTCAATAGTTTGCCACGCGGGAAATTGGACAGTTTCGACAACAGAATCAGAAAGGAGCTTCATCAATTCACATGAGAAGGGTTTCACCCCAGGGCAGTCATTACATTCATCCAGATAACAGGCCGGGGTTAGATTTGTACACATTAGTTGTGCTAGACAATCTTTGTAATCCTTGAGTGGGCAGGGGGAATCTTTAGTTAGAGTGGCAATGTTGATGGCTTCGAGCATCAATTTGCAATTTTGATGATACGTGCAAACACATACGACGTGAGTGCCATTTGCTCCCGCCAGTACACATTGTTTTGGTCTCAGCTCAGTGAACTTACTGAAACCAACCAAAGCCTCTGGATGAGTATGTTTGTATTGATTTTGACGGATACTTTATCTTTCATCCTTGGCATGACACGACTATTCTCTAGATAAAACTTGTGTACTTTCTCGACCGTTTGTTTTGGAAGTGAATGGCCTGCTTTCGCAATTGGTGAGGCAAATACTCCTTTGATTTCTCTCAATTTTTTCGCTCTTGACGCCATGTATCTCGTAATGCCAAATTCAGAAGCGATTTTCCGCTCGCTCCACGACTGTGGAAGAACCGTCAAGATTTGCAAGCGCTCACCGTACTTTTCCAGATCATTGAATTTTTTCTTCAAACCATCCAGCATTTCTTCTAATTCTATTTCTCTCGAAGATCGATAGCGCTTTGATAAAGAAGGATCACCGTCACTTTGGTCATCTTCCGCATCAGAATGCATGGGGGAACTGGAGCATTCAGATACATTGTCCGCTTCTTCATCGATTGAAATGCCGGAATCGTCGAGATGGAAAGACCGACCTCATCTCAGAGAACTGTTCATCACATCTGGGCTTGGTTCGGGTGTTTCGGCTTGGGGCTTTGCTATCTCGGGTGGGGTGTTCGAACATCGAAGATGTGTATCATGAAGATTCACCATTGAGACGGTTGGAATCACATAATTTTGGGCCATCTTCCGGCACTGGCCACAGATTTTCGCAGACTTTGGTAGAAAGGGAAACTTCTTGTGTATTGCCGAGGAAATGGGCCGCAAATCCAAACCATTGTGTCCCTTCTGACCAGGAATCCGCATCGGATTCGCACACCTATCACTTCGCGGCATTCTATGAAATGCAAAATTATCAAATCCAATCCAAAATTATCCGGAAAATGAGGATTATTCCAATAAGTAACGTGAAAACTGCTTACCTCGATACAACAGACAGGAAAATGCGAATCGATTCGCAAGGAATTGTACAACGATGAAAACTCAATGAGGAAGTTGAAGTTTTCACTAAAACTAGAGCCTCAGGAAAAACTGATGATATTAAATCAATGAATTGATTCTTCTTGTTTTCTTTTCTCATTTGTTTGGTCATGATTAGGCGAACTTCCGATGATGATGACACAGTATAGCTCTCATAGAAAGCGAAAAGACGCAAAAATTTTGAAGAAAAATTTTTCCCGGCGCATTGTTTCTCTTTTCCATCGTGAGGCATCTCTTTTCTAACTCATATTCATCAAAGGTATGGATTGAAATATCAATTTCTCAAGAAAAACAAGGCAGCTCTCCTAGAAGGCGTAAAAACACGAAAATTTAGGAAACCAAAATTTTCTCCGGTACACTGGTTGTCTCTCCCACGATGCCGTATTTTTTTACATCATATATGGACGTTCTCTATGAGAAAAAAAATATTCCAGTCGAATACCGGACGGCCCTAGAGCCGAAAAAAAATAAAAACGTAAAAATTCATCGAAATTTAGGTGTAGAAACTTCTTCACGCCTATGGAATATTTTTATCCTGAAAGTATGAACGAAAAGAAAAATTTTCTTCTTTTATTTGTTCGAATCGGATGCGCCATTCAAAAGTTATGAATTTTTGAAAATTTAAAGTTTGGTAGTCATTATCTCAGAAACAAAAAATCATGAGGCAATGAAATTTGGCAGGAATACTGTCTATATATAGTAATTCGAAATGCGGCAATCAAATCATTTTTTCTAGACAAAAAAAAATCCGGGGTGGCTGAGTTGACATGGAATGTCCCATAATCTTTAATCTGACTCCTGCAACCCATCTTTAGACCCGTATACTGACCCGCGTGATGCATATTCTGACCCTCATGACGCTTATTCTGACCTTCGCGACCCTTATTCTGAACGTCACGTCCCTTATTCTGACCCTTATAACCCTTACTTTGACCCTTAATTTTGGAGTCTTAATTTCGAGTACCAAATTTTCATCACCAAAAATCGATTTGGATTTTTATAATATAGAGAGATAGAGAAATCAGTAGCGAAGTGATAACATGAACAACGTGAATTTTACGCTAAAATCAATTCTTAAAGAGATACACCATCCGAAAATTTGTGGCTGAATTTTTGGTATGAAATCCTAAGAATTTTCAACGAGAGAAGATAATGAATGGAGTGAATTGCAGATCATTTCTTCAGTAAAAATTAGGAAAATTCATCCAATAGAATCATTGCATTTAACCTCACCAGCCCGATTTTGGATATTGTTCGGAAATTCGATGTTGTCATGGGCAACAGACAAAACATCTGGTAACAATTCTTTTAGCCGAAATTCCGATCATCATCAGGCTCACAAAGGATTTTCTGATGAATGTGAGATCACATTTGTACAGAAGACGGGAGTTTATATAGCGTTCCACATCTTGTGATGTCACAGGATATCGTTGGATTGGACTTTTTGAGTATGTGGAGGGGAAGCAGGGTAATTCTCGATATTAGCACTGTTAGAAATTTGTTTAATTTCTAGTAACGATTACAACTAGATTCTCAATGTTGTGAGGTTTAATTCAATGGTGAGCGATTACTGATATTTTAATGCGGCTTGATTTTTGAAGTTCATTATGAAAATTGAACATTAAATTCAATTGAATTTTCAATAGTTTAACAATTCAGGAAAATAATTAGGTGAATTTTCGCTATTCCCCGTAATTTTCATTGTCGTATGGATGGAGAAATTAGGATTTCATTGATTATTTTTCTCACTTAGATTTCAGCCAATCAGAGCGCAGTATTTGAGGCTGTCAAACAGTTTTCTTTCGGAACTTTCTAAAAAATTTCCGACGGAAATTCACTAGTAGCTTTTCAAATCTTTCTCATCTTTCAACGCATTTCACGTTTAATATTCTGTGTGACAGATAAACAAAAAAGTGGGTTGTAAATATATGGCTGTGTAAATGTATCCGGATGCTGTTCACTGCACTCTGCTTGGCCGAAATCCGAGTGGAAAAATAATCCGTCAAATACCACTCGTGCTTCAAAATTAATCGGATATTTTCCTCAAGCTTCCGTGGCTAGGAACGAGTGTGTCAAATTTTGCAAATAGTGGTCCCAGAATAGGCAGGTCGAGAAAAAGAAGAAAAAAAAATCGACCACCGTATCATTCTTAAAAATGATCGTTTGTTTTGAGTATATCAATAATACTCCCAATAAAATTGTAGTATTGAACTATATCTAGAATAATATCAATTAG